TGTTATTTACTAGAATGGTATTGCCATAAACTACAAAAGGCTTTTTACAGAAATAAAAACAGACATAAATAATTGGAGAAATATTTATTGCTCATAATTAGGCCAAGTCAATCTAATAACGGTTATCAATATTAATTTACTTTTTCATTACCATATCATTCAAACCACCAAAGGATTGAGCTAGAAAAAATAATAACAATCCATCTGGAGGAGCAAAAGGTCAAGAATTCAGGGGAAATAATGGGAGAAAAAAAGTGAAAAGGGAGCCTATTAACTCCAGATCCTCAAATTATCCATCCATCCATTCATCCATCTATTCACGGTATGCCTCAGCCCCCAACTTAGGGGCTCCAGTCAGAAAGAATTTAAGAAATCATCTTAATTCAACCAGCCCTTCTTTCCCACTTTACCAATCGCAGTTTCACAAAGGAGACTGAGTCTAGGGATTTACAAAACAATAATCGTGAAAACTACTTGTTACTGGTTAAGTAATAGAAAAGTCCATCAGTGGAACAGATTAAATATATGACATAGAGAAGCAAACTACCATAGGAGCATAATGTTGCATAAACTCCTGGGGTAAAGACTCATTATATGAGAAAAACTGCTGGGAAAACTGAAAAGCAGTCTGTCAGAAATGGGGTTTAGACTAACTCCTCACACAGCACAACAAAATAAGCTCAAACTGAATATATGATTTAGATAGGAAATTTTACATAGTAAGCAAATTAGAGGAGCAAGGAAGGAAATCATTTGCAACTATGGATAGGGAAAAAGTTAATGCTCAAACAAGAAACAGGATTATAAAAGATAAAATGGACAATTTTGATTCCATAAAATTAGCATAATCAATGAATTTAAAATTAGAAGGGAAAACTAACTGAAGAAAAAAATCTTTGCAGCAAGTTTCTCTGATAAAGAACTGATATTCAAAAATGTGTAAGGAACTGACTCAAATGTATAAGAGCCATCTCCCTTATAGATAACCCATCAAAGTATATAATCAGGCAATTCTATGTAGATGTGGAAGACGTCTCCATACTGGTGATAATTGACATCATGGGAGTATATGAAAACAGGCAAGCCTCAGAGATGAACTCCTGGTATTTTGGGGGGAAGAGGAAGCTGAGCCCCAGAAATTCTGTTATCCACTGAGGTTTTATCATCTCATACAATACCTTCCTTTCCTCCTTCCCCATTCCTATTTTCCTCTTCTCCTTGTACCATTCCATAGAATACAGTCTCTCTGCTTTTCTCTTCCTCTCCCATCCCAGAAGTGAGCATACAACACTTTAGAAATTAAATGTGGGGGATAGCTAGGTGGCGCAGTGGATAGAGCACCAGCCCTGGATTCAGAAGGACCTGAGTTCAAAATTGGCCTCAGACACATAACACTTACTAGCTGTGACCCTAGGCAAGTCATTTAACCCCATTGCCTAACCAAAAACAAACAAAAAAAAATTGAATGTGAGTTTTTCAGAGTCTTAATAAAAATTATGGAGTTCATTCACTTGTATACAAAGTGAGAGTTCAGTTTTCCTAGTTCTTTCATTCACTTTTCTTCTTCTGCTTGTCTTCTGAGAGGCAGGTGTACCTAACCCTTCTTTCCTTTTATTCCTGGGGCTGGTTCTTGGCCAGAAGTACTCAGTCTCTCTCTTTATATCTGTCCTAGCACTTTGCATATCCCCTATAGGTTTATATTTTAATAGCATTCCAGCTTCTTTATATATTATATATAAATATATGATATATTTATATATTATATTTATATAATTATATATAATATATTCCCTCACTTCCCCAAATATCTTAGCTTCCCTGTTATCCTGTAGTGTGTGTGTGTGTGTGTGTATAGTAGACTATAAATTCTAAGCAATAGATCATTTGAGTTCTACTTTGTATTCCGACCTAGTGTCTAATACAGTGTCTTAGTACAGAACAGCTACTGCCTAACTTGAAGTGTATCTGCAGATTGACCCTACCTCATCTATTGAGTAAAATCTAAATTTGTGTTTGCATTAAAAGCCCCTCCTCAGCCTATCACTAACTCATCTTACTGGTATTATATTGTACTGCTTCCCTTCCCAGTCTATGCTCCACCCAGCTTGGGAAAGTTTATTCTCTTCCCAAAGGAGACACCAGGTTGGCTTTATCTCAGGATCTCCCCACTTCACAGAATAAAAGTTTCTGTAATCCATTCATCTATTCACAGTATATCTCAGCCCCCCAACTCAGAGGCTCCAGGGTCAGAAGGGATCTAAGAAATATCTTGATCCATCCAGTCCTTCCTTCCTTTCCACCCCAACTATTCTAGTTTCACAAAGGAGGAGACTGAGTCTAGGGACTGAAACTTGGCCAATGTTTCCGGGTTAGTAAGTAACTAACTTGGAATATGAACTCAGGACCTGTGACCCCCAATCCAGTGTTGTTTCCTCCATGCCACATTGCCTCCCTAATCACCAGCCTTGGACATTGGTGCTCTTTTAGTTGTGGGAGTGCAGGGGAAGAGACAGGAGGAATGTGTAGGCAAGGACTTCAGAGGTCCAAGTGACCCTGATACCAGCAGGAAGAGAAGCAACAACAAAGCAGTTCACAGGTCAAGTATATCTAGGTCACAAACCAGTGGACTCCCTGCGTGTGAAAAAGGAATAAATCTCAAATAACCAGATGGGTCAGAATCAAGCCAAGACTAAACTGAAGTAATTGCATATCGTTGCCCATTGTCCTAGCCAGCAATGTTGGGGAGTGGAGCTCAGCATCCATCTAATGCAGGAAAGCCTTTTTGTTTCTGGCCCTGCAGCAGAGTCTGACCCTAGGGAAAGATTCTGTTCTTAGGACCTTCATCCTACTGTTCCTAGCCTGTGTTATGCCAGGGTAAGGGAGGAGGAAAGGAGATTCAGCAAGCTCTCAATAGTAGCTGAAAACTGCTTCTTGGCCTAAGTTATGTTCTTTGCAACAGTGTCAACCATGAGGATCCCAAGAGACCTACTTTCCTTCTCTTACAAAGATAGCTAGGGGAAAAAAAAAAGAGAGAGAACTAGAAATTTAACCCAGACTCCCAATGGACTCAGCCCCTTTCCTCTAAATAACTCCCTCTCACCATTCATTATGGGATCCAAACCCACTCAGATCACTCAGATCCCCTTTCTTTTTTCTTCCAGACCTCTGAGAGACATCAGTTGCATCAGAATCTTAACTTTGACCACATTCAATCCCTAAACATGCAAGAAAAGTTCTGTACTAGGTGTCAAGTCAACTACAAATTTAAATAAGATGTGGCCCCTGCTTAAAAGGTGGGGATATCCAGTAGAGACCTGACTCACACAGATAACTGATAAACAGTGGAGTACAACAGTTTGAGAGGTACAAACAGTCATGCCATTGGAGGTACCACTGCAGGTGGAGGGAAGGAAGGCATTTTGGAGGACATGGCATTTTAATTGGGTCTTAAAGGATAGGTAAGAATGCCTGGGGACTTTCAGGCGTAGGGAGTAACATGAACAGGTGAAATAGACTTAGGAAACATCAAAGAGACTAATTTGAGTGGAGCATGGTTTGGGGGAAGACTGGAAAGATGAGTTGGTACCAACCTGTGCAGGACAATGCTTCCCTGGAGAGTTTAGGTTATATTCAGTACATAGTAGGAACCCAAAGTTTTGAAGCTTAGGAGTGATGTAACCAGAGCTGTTCTTTAGAAAACTTAATGTGTAGGCTGGATTACAGGTGGGGAGAAACTGACAGTGGAAGATTTCATTAGGAATCTTCATGGAATGAACCAGTCACATGACCATATGAGTCTTCACTAAGATTGTGGAAAGAAAGGGGCAGATAGAAATGCTATTGCTAAGGTAGAATTGACTGGACATAGTAATTAGATGTTGAAGAGGATAGAGTAAAAAAGCTCTTTTGAGCTTGGGTGATGGGGAAAGTAATGTTCATAAATTCTTCACAAAAGTAGAAACAGGTTTTGGAGGAAGATATGGTAAGCTCAGTTTTGGACATGAATTTAAAGTTTTTGAGTATCCAGATATATTGAGATTTAGTTTTATAGATTAGAGGATCATCCACATAGAGGTAAAACTATGGGGATTATATAAGATGGCTAAGAGAAGAATGGGTAGAGTGAGAAAAAAGGACAAAGGCCTTTGGGGAATGGCTACATTGAGAGGGTAAGAGAGTAGATAGAAGGGTCTGAAGAACTGGAGGAGAGAATATCCAGAAGGAAGGGATGTTCAACATCATCACATGCTGCAGAAAGATCAAGGAGAACGTGAAATGAGAAAAGGCTTTTGGGTTTGGCAATTAAGAGTCCAGGAGTGGCCTTAGAGACAAGTTTCAATATAGTGGTGGGAGCAGAAGTCAGATTATGGAGGAAGAAGTAGGGATTCCAAGTGTAGAAGATCACTCTTTATGGCCCAGCAGTGAAAAAGAGATGTTCATAGGGATAGCAGAACCAAGGGAAGGTTTGGGTTGTTTGGGTTTTTTTGTACAGGGAAGCTCTTGAGTATATTTGTAGGCATCAGGGATGGAGCTAATGAAGCAGTGCCAGTGGAAAATGAGCCTGAGGGCAGAGGTTGGAAGTGAGGAGTCTGTTAGCTTTAGAAAGACATTCTGGAAAGTTAGAGGGAGAAAGACATAGGTGGAACATGGGTATTGAAACTAAATCTCCATCTTAGTCCACCCACTCCTCTGTCAGGTCTTTCCAGAAAACAGATACCAGAGAGAATCTTGAGACTTTCTCCATAGCCCTTTTTGCTAGAGGAGCAAAGCTAGGAAATATGGAGTCAGAAGGACTAGATAGTGCCCAGAGTGGAAACTAATCTCAAGATAATGGAAAGTCAACTGAAGTCCTTTGGTAAGAGTAGATGGAATAAGGTACAGGAGGGAAGGAGCAGAAGGTGAAAGGTCAGGGGAAGAGCCAATGTTGCTTTCTAGGTTGGGAGGAAACCAGCTCCAGGTGACATCTCTTTTGTTCTGCCCCTTCCCCTCCCCCAAAACAGGGTTTCTGCTCCTGGCTGACAGCAATCTTCAGGATAAAGTAAGTATAATGGGGTTTCAGGCTTCCCAAACCCTCATCTCACAGTCCTCAGTCAATGTCCAAAGTTTCAAAGCTAGAGCCTTTGAGGACTCTAGCCTGACCCTTCCTAGAACTCACTGGGCATCACCTAGGAGAGGTATTACTTTTATCCCTGTTTCCCTCCTCCCACCCAGTCTCATCAGTGGCTCCTCCTGTTATCTAGGTCTCCCTCCTGGCCATCAGGTCTATCTGGCCAAAATGGTAGGGTAGTTAGGTAGAACAATTCCCTATTTATCAGCAGGCAGGTGCCCAGCAGGGAGGAGCAAGTGCCCAGCAGGCAAGAGCAAGTGCCCAGCAGGCAGGAGGGAGTGCCCAGCAGTCAAGAGGGAGTGCCCAGCAGGGAGGAGCAAGTGCCCAGCAGGCAAAAGCGAGTGCCCAGCAGGCAAGAGCGAGTGCCCAGCAGGCAGGAGGGAGTGCCCAGCAGTCAAGAGGGAGTGTCCAGCAGGGAGGAGCGAGTGCCCAGCAGGCAAGAGCGAGTGCCCAGCAGGCAGGAGGGAGTGCCCAGCAGTCAGGAGGGAGTGCCCAGCAGTCAAGAGGGAGTGCCCAGCAGTCAAGAGGGAATACCCAGCAGGCAGGAGCAAGTGCTCAGCAGTCAAGAGGGAGTGCCCAACAGTCAAGAGGGAGGGCCCAACAGTCAGGAGCAGCTACCCAGATTCCTGGAGAAACTGCTCACAAGGCAGCACCTGCCTTCCATCAGGGAGAATCTACTGCCCAACTGGCCTGGGCCAATGCACAACAGGGAAGACCTACTGCCTGGCTGGCAGGGACGAGTGTTCAGGCAGGAAACATTCCCCTCACGGCTGAAATCAGTATGTAGCTATGAGGGGTCAAAACCCATCTGGCAGGAGTTGCTAGCCAATAGGGAGGAGCAACTACTCGAGAGGAAGAGGCAAGACCCCAGCAGGCAGAATGAAGACTTCTTCTGGCAGGAGCATGCCTTTAGCTGGCAGGAAGAAACCTTCAACTGGAAGGAGGAAGCAGCCACCTGGCAGGAGAAGTTACTCAGCTGGCAGGAGCATGCATCCAGAAAGCAGATGGACTCACTTGACAGACAGAGTCAAAGATTCGGAGAAATAGCTATCAGTCAGGCAGTAATTAAAAGCTTCATCTTGAGGTTAGCTGGCTCCCCAACCAATCCCCCAGGCCAAAGGACAGAACCCCTTTCTGACACTCCAAGGTACCATTGATCCACCAGTGGTATCTTCTCTTCCTTCTCCCATTCCTATTTAAATTATTTTCTCCTTCACTCGCCATTATTGCCTCCTTCTTCCCTCTTCATTCCTCCTCCTCTTCCCTTTGTGTGCCTCTACTTTCTTCCCTCTTCACTTCCTTCCCTCTCCCCCCCTTCCTTCTTCAACTGCTGTGTTCAAGCTATGCACAGTGTGCAAGCTATTCAAAGGTGACACTCCCTGCCAAAAGCACACATAAGGTAGGTGTGATGGGACCAAAATAGAAAACAAAGCCAGTTGATATATTCTGAGAAAATGAGAGCAAGGAAAACACCTTCAGCTGGGAAGGTCAGGGAAGACTTCACTGAACCCACTTTGAAGGAAGAGAAAAATTATGAGAGGTGAAGACAGAGGAGAGTATACTCCAGGCTCTGAGAATGGAGGGAGAGATGACACTTAAGGTTTGGGAAACATCTGGTAGCACACTGTGGGCCAGAATAGTGAGCGAACACAGAGGAGAAGTTTAGTAATATGAAATGAGGCTGGAAAAGTTGATAGGAGCCAGGCTATAGAGTGGCTTAAGTGTTGGGTCAGGACATTTGTATTTTATCCCAGAGGTAATAAGGAACCTCACTGGAGGGGTTTAGGATCGGGAGAGTGATCTGATCAGATCTTAGGAAGATTACTGTGATGTCTGTGTGATGGGTGAATTGGAAAAGGGAGAGATGGGTGACCAGGAGACCAGCTAGGAAGCTGTTAATGAGAGTCCAGGTGAGATGGGGTGTAGGCCTGAATGAGAGTCATGGGAGAATGAGCAAAAAGGAGGTGGGCCGATGGAATCAATGGAACTCCCTGTGGATCACCCCATCTCTCTCATCCTGCTCTTCTTTCTCTTCTGCCCCACATTTTCTGTCTACCTTTTCCTCTCCTGAGCTTCTTGCTCCTCTCCTTTGCAAATCTTAATGTACTGTAGAAGTACCAACTATCTTTATCATCATTGTCCTCATCATCATTTTTTCTCCTCCACCCTACCCCCCTTGCTTTACCCTCCCCATTCCTGTCTATCCTTCCTATTTTGTAAAGGCAATTTATCAAACATTCATTAAGTACGTTAATTTCTGCAAGGCACTCTACTAGGCATTGGCCCCTGCCCTCAAGGAACTTACATTCTACTGAGAGGAATATAAGATGTGCAACACACAAATAAGTAAATACATGGTAATTTGAGGAAAGAATGTGAACAACTAGGGAGATCAGAAAAGGCCTCATGTAGGAAACCTTGAAGGAAACTTAGAATTTGGAGAGTTGGAGGAGAGGAAGGAATGCTTTTTAGCCATGGGAGATAGACCCTGGGAAGACTTGGTGATAGAATGTCAAGTTCAAAGCACAGGGAATGGACCACTTAGTCTGGAATATAGACTGAGTGAAGGAGGAAGTAATGTAAAGTAAAGCCTTTAAATGCCCATGTGAATTTGCATTTTATTCTAAAGGCAATCAGCAAGCATTTATTAAGTGTTTGTTCGTTTGTCCCATCTGTCTAGGCCCTGAGAGTTAGTAGAGTATTTAGAGCAGGGGAATGACATGCTCAAACCTAAGAAAATTATTTAGGCAGCTGTGTGGAAGGTGGATTGGAGACGGGAGACACTAGAAGCAGTGAGATCTCTTTTGTAGTCTTTTTTTTAGGCAATTGAGGTTAAATGACTTGCCCAGGGTCACACAGCTAGTAAGTGTCAAGTGTTTGGTCTGAGGCCAGATTTGAACTCGGGTGCTCCTGACTTCAGGGCCAGTGCCCTATCCACTGTGCCACCTAGCTGCCCCCAAGATCTTTTTTGTAGTAGTCCAGAGTGATAAGGGTATAAAGGATATTAGAGTCTCTGTGAGTAAGGAAAACGGAACAGATGCAGGAGATGTAAAGGTAGAATCAACAAGACTTTTTGCAACTGATTAGCTATAAACCTGCGTGATTAAAAGGATAGTGGTACCTTCAACAGAAATAGGGGAGTGTGGAGTAGGCGAGGCTGTGGAGGAGAGTGTGAGAATGAAGAAGCAGAACATGTTGAGTTTGAGGTGCCAATGGTACTTCCAGGTGGAAATGTCCACTAAGCAGTTGGTGCTTAGGGATTGGATTCCACGAGAAGTTGGGGTTGAGATTTGGGAGTTATTTGCGTATATGTTGGGGGGAGGGGCGCCACCTGGGTACAGGTGATAATTAAACGATGGGCTACCAGCTGTTTCCCAAACCTGAAGGACTCATTCATTTCGAAAATACTGAAAAGGAAGAATCAGACAGATAAAATGAGAATCAAAAGGAGCAGTGTCATGGAAACCAAAGAAGAAAAGCGTATGCAGGAGGCAGCCAGGATAGATGATTCTTCCCGACCCTTGGCTGTGACTTTGAGATAAGAGACTAGAGGAAATTTTTTTTTTTTTTTTTTTAAGGATAGGTTTGCAGAGGAGAGATAACCAAGGGCACAATTAGAGGGCTTGACCAGAGCACCAGAAGAGGCTAAACTAAAGGAATAGAGAACAGGGAATGGTGTACAGAGAAAAGAAAGTGGGTGAGAGAAGACCTTGATTTTCTCAGTTAAGTAGGAGGCAAGGCCCTCCCTCCATAGAGAAGGAAAAAAGGGAGAGAGGAGGGAAGAATGACCTGAAGCTTGCAGAGAGAAGCAGTTGCTTGGAACAGCCACTACATGCAATGTAATAATCAAGTTTAAGAAAGACTTGCCATGCAGTAGTGAGGGCCCAGGTGAACCTTGTATGGCAATACAGACAAAGGATCAGAGGAGGTTCCTGTGGTGGAGGTAACTCCAGTCTGCAGTTTGGCGAGATGTAAGCAGTGATTGAATAAGGAGACAGGTAGAAGAGCGTGTAGCTGAAGTAGTCAACTGTAGGATCATGACTGAAGAGAGAAATGTGAGGCCCGGGCCAAGCTCATCAAACAAGATTTGTGTAGAGTCCTCCAGTCTCACTGTGGACAAAGGATAGTTTTAGCAAGAGTAAGATGGAAAGATGGGAAAATATCCTATAGAGGTGATGTGATACGAGTAATGGTGAGATCTAAAGTCTGATCCTTGTGGTTGGTTGAGGTTAAGTGAAGAAATTATAGATCATGGGAGTTGATGGGGTGAATGAACTAAAAGGACCAGGGTATTTGAGGTGATACCAACATATACCTCTTTCTTCCCTCATTATTCTCTTCTCTTTTTTCTTATTCATCCTTCTTTTCTTTTCCCGCTTCCTTTTCCCTCCTCCTTCTGTCCTCTCTTTCATCATATACATGCATACACACCCTAACCCTTCCTTCCATCCTGCATCCCTTTGCAGGGAGAAGGGAGGTCAGGGGGTGATATTTCTTAGTCTGAAAGTTGGAAAAATAGAGGTGTGACGGTCAGAAGTTAGGAGAAGGGAATGGTCGTTGCCCTTCCCCCCTCGATTGATTTTGATTCTGTGTCCTTCCCCTTCTCCTACTTCCTTTCCCTTTCCAATTCTGCTCCCCAGGGATGAAGAGATCTTGGACAAGTGTGGAGCTGATGCAGTGCACTACCTGACGTTCCAGCGGCACATCATTGGGCTGCTTGCAGTCGCAGGTGTTCTCTCCGTGGGCATTGTGCTTCCTGTCAACTTCTCAGGGAATCTGCTTGGTCAGTGGGGGGAAGGTGTGCTTCCTATCCATTTCTCAAGGAATCTGCTGGACAGTGGGGGGAAAGAAGGGGAGGGAAGTGATTTGAATGAATGAATGATGAACAAATGAATGAATGATGAATGAATAGAAAATGTTGGTTAAACTCTTACTGTGTACCAAGCAGTGGGCAGCAGGAGATGGGCCAATTCCTGAGGCTCACAGCTTCCCGTTCCTTTTCTCTTTCTCTGTCTCTCTCTCTCCCTTTACCCCAAGAAAACAACCCCTACAGCTTTGGGAGAACCACCATTGCCAACCTAGACTCAAGGTGAGGATAGGGAAACCAACCAAAAAGGAAAGAGGTACACTAGTGTGGAGCTGGGGGGTGGGGGAGGGGAGAGGGGAGGCAGGTGGGTGGGCGGTAACCTGGGATGAGAAAAGAAACAAGACAACCAGGTAAGGAGATGCATGGGTGGGAGTAGGATATAATGGGACAGCAGGAAAAAGTTAAGGTTGCTCAATGAAGAGGAGGTTGGGAGCAAGAGTGGGGAGTAGAGCAAGGGTAGAGACTGTAGGGTCTGTGTTAGAGGAAGAACTCAGAGAGGGAGAGGCCTCTGAGAGGGGGGATGGCCTTACACTGCATCATGAGAGAGCGCTTCACCAGGGAAGGGAGCTCTCCAGAGACACTCATAACAAGCCTGTAGGGCACAGAGTGCACATATTTTCCCCATTTTACAAACGTAACTGGGATACAGGTAGGTAAGGGGATTTTGTTCAAGGTCACGCAGCCCACAAGTCTCTTGACTCCTCACTCCAGGACTCTTCACTGCACCAGGCTGCCTCCTAGGGGATGTCAAGTGGACAAGCATTTGTTAAGTGCCTTGTGTGTACCAGACACTCTGCTGAGCACCACAGATAAAAGGAAAGTCAAAAAACAGTCTCTGCTCTCAAGGAGCTCACAGTCTAATGGGAGAGACAATATTGAGCAAAATATAGACAGGATAAACTAGAGATAATCTTAAAAGAAAGGCATTAAAGGGGACTTGGAAAGACTTCCTTCAGAAGATGGGATTTGAGCTGAAACTTGAAGGAAATCAGGGAAGGCAGAGACCAGGAAGGAAAGAATTCCAGGTCTAGGGGATGGCCCAGGGAAAATGCCAAGAGCCGGGGCAACTAGGTGGTACAGTGGATAGAGCACCAGGATAGAGAGTCAGGAGGACCTGAGTTCACATCTGGCCTTCACATGATATTCACTAGCTGTGTGACCCTAGGCAAGTCACTTAATCTCAGTTTCCTTGCCGAAAAAAAAAAATGCCAAGAGCTAGGAGATAGAGGGCATTGTGAGAGGAGAGGAACAGCCAGAAGGCCAGTCCACTGGCTTGTTGAGGGCATGAAGGGGAAGAAGGTGTAAGCAGACTGGAAAAGTAGGAGAGGCTTTAAAAGCCAAACAAAGAATTTTCTATGTGACCTGCGGGTGCTCCAGAGGGAGCCACCAGAGTTTGTTGAATAGGAAGGGTGACATGGTCAGACCTGCACTTGAGGAAGCTCATTTTGATAGCAGAGTGAAGAATGAAAGAGATTGTCCAGAGATTTGAGATAGAGCGACCAACTAGAAGGTTATACTGCAGTAGTCCAAGTGTAAGGTGATACGGCCTACACCAGTGATGGACCTTTTAGACAGTCAATTTAGACTCTAGGATTTGGTTAGAGGAGAGACAGGGTCAACTCATAAACCCCATGAGAGAGTCAGAAGTGTAGATATCCCAAAAGGAAACATTTAATGCACAGACTGAGTTAGAGATTGGTGCTATGGGAACAGAGTTTGTGCTTCCAGCTAGAGCTATCATCCCTCAAATCCCCATTTCTTTTGCAGTAACAACCTGCTATGGCTGCACACCTCTTTCGCCTTTCTATACCTACTACTCACTGTGTATACCATGCGAAGACATACCTCCAAGATGCGCTATAAAGAAGACGACATGGTAAGCAGAAATTAAAGAGACTTGTGCC